GGCTTGCCCTTATAGGAAGCTTTTTCCGAACCCAACATAATATAAACCCTATTTAATTCTTTATATTAAATAGGGGAATTTGTCGGCCAATACATTGGTTTTTGCAGACCAAACGGATGTCATAATTTTCTCTAGTTTATTTGATCGAGTCTCACCCTCAATTCTGATGTTCATCCTTCGAGATAGATACAGGATTTGAGATAGAGCGCTCTTTCATCTAAACTATGAAAATTATGGGGTCAGTTTAACTTCACCTTTTTCAAAATTAAAATTTTTAAAATGTTCTTTCGAAGCGGGCAACGGGATTTCAATTCCGATGAGCGACAACTTACGGGCAAACCCCACACCAAAAATAGTGCCGACAAGCATTTAACACTGTATTTTACATGATCAATAGAGGGTCATATGTTCCATTAGACTGTAAATTGCCTAATGATGCCTGGAGTGGAAAAGAGGTCAAATTTTCTCACCTTAAGATTTTTTGTTGTCTTTCTTATGTTCTTATTAATCCTGCGACTTATAGTAAGCTTGAGGCTAAGTCAACGAAAAGCTATTTTATTGGTTATGGAGACGAGACATTTTGTGATCGTTTCTAGGGTGATCAGAATCTGAAGATCATAAGAAGCAAAAATATGATTTTCAATGAGAAGACCATGTACAAAAACAAGTCCAGTACAGTTTCTGAAGTGACCCCTCATGAATTCGAGATGGAAAGGTTTAATGATCTACCAGAGGTCACAGTGCAAGGCAGTGATGGAAGTGATGAGGAAAGTGAGTCTAGGACACTCATTCATATTGTTTTGCAATCAGCTTTAGAGTTGTCTACCCTTACAGCTACATTTCGCAGGTCCGTCAGAAATAAACGTTCTCAGCGTTACTCACCAATCTTGAACTCGACATCACGTTGATAGATGATGAAGAACCACATGGCTATGAAGAAATCTTGCAAGATAAAAATTTGAGCAAGTGGGAGCTGGCTATAAAGGAAGAGATAGATTCTTTGTTAAAAAATTAGACATGGGAGCTGACAAAACTTCCACCAGAGAAGAAGGCATTGCATGACAAGTGGGTGTACCAGGTGAAATTGAGCATGATTGAAATAAAAAGGAAAATGCTAGACTTGTTGTAAAAGACCTTCAACAGAGAGGATATTGATTATTCTGAGATCTTTTCTCATGTGGTGAAGCTCATAACCATCAATATGGTATTGTCCATGATAGCTATTGAAAATCTATTCCTTGAGTAATTGAATGTGAAGACAGCCTTTTTTCATGGAGATCTTGAAGAAAACATCAATATGCACCAGTTTGAGGGGGTTGTGTAATGGGGAAAGAAAGATTCAGTTTGCTGACTAAAGAAAAACTTGTATGACCTAAAGCAAGCTCCTAGACAGTGATACAAAAAATTTGATAATTTCATACAAAATGCATGGTACACCAGATGTCAGGCAGATCACTATTGTTATGTTAGACATTTTAACTATTCTTACATCATTCTACTGTTGTATGTGGATGACTTGCTTATTGCAAGGACCAGTATTGATGGATCAATAATCTGAAGAAGCAGATGTCAAAGCACTTTGCAATGAAGGATTTGGGAGCGGCAAAGCAAATCCTTGGCATGAAGATTGTCAGAGGCAGAGTCAGAGGCATGTTGAGGCTTTCACAGGCTGAATATGTGACAATGGTCATGAGCACGTTCAATATGGATAAGGTCACACTAGTTGGCACGCCTTTGGGCAGTCACTTCAGACTCATCAAAAATCAATCTTCCAAGTTAGAGGAGGAACAAGACTACATGAGTACGGTTCCTTACATTTCAGTTATTGATTCACTTATGCATGTTATGGTTTGCACAAGATCGGATATTGCCCATACAATGGGAGTTGAGTGTAAATACATGAGTAATCCATAAAAGAAACATTGAGAAGCTGTGAAGTGGATCTTGAGATACTTAAGAGGCTCCTCAAAAACCTACTTGTTTTTCTTAGGAAAGATCTTGGAGGTGCATGGCTACGTTGATGTTGATTTAGCTGGAGACATTGATAGTAGAGAGAGTACTACATGTTATGTTTACACTCTTGGTGGTACTGCAGTGTCATGGAGCTCAAATCTACAGAAGAAAATTTCTTTGTCCATTATAGAGGCTGAGTATATTGCAATGTCAGAGGCTACAAATGAGATGATATGGATACAAAGTTTCTTCGAAGAATTGGGTAAGGAGGTTCAAAAGGGCACTCTCTACAGTGATAGTCAGAGCGTCATATTTCTTGTCAGGAATTCAGTATTTCAATCCAGAACTAAGTACATTCAGATCTGGTATCACTTCTTTTGATCATTGTTAGCTGACAGACAATTGCTACTTGAGAAAATTTGTGGAAGCAAGAATCCTGTTAATATGTTGACAAAGGTTGTTACTCTTGAGAAATTTAAGTTGTGCTTAGCTTCAGTTAATCTTCTAGTTTGAAGATAGGGGCTTTAGTTGCAGAGGTGTAGGATATCACGTTTGAGGAAGAGGACGATGCAGCTAGTGTCCCAGTCTCAAGTGGGAAAATTGTTGGGTATTGTCGAGCCCAGTCCACTTCGCTTCTTTTGGAGGTTTCTTATTATGATATTAGAATATTTATATCCTTTCTAGCTTCTCCTATACCTTCCTATAGAGAATCTCGCCTTCCTATTGTTCCCCAAAAACTGAGTTTTAATTTCAGAATTTCCTTAATTGCCTCCTTGCTCTCCCGCCGACTGATTTAGATTCGTGAATTAATGTTGTTTCCTCATTTGTTGTTCGACAATTATTGGAAGTGATATTTGGCAATTGAAAGTTTGCCTTAATGGGCCTTATATTGAACCATTTAAGTAGAGCGGGAAGGAATTGCATGTATTCTTACGACTCCATCTTCTTGCTTCTGCTGTGTGCTTACGGGAAGAATAATATTGTAAGGCTGCTCCACGGTTTTTCTTCTTCTTCTCGACGTGGCTAGTCGTTAGAGAGAGAGGAGAGGAGAGGAGAGGAGAGGAGAGAGAGAGAGAGAGAGAGAGGAAGAGAGAGAGTTTCTTGTAAGTCGATTCTCAAAATAATAAAATTCTCTGTAACTCCGTGAATGTAGGTAATTTGTCGAACCACATAAATCTGTGTTTTTTTTGTGAAAATTCTCTTTCTAATTTTTAGCTTTACTGTCGTCGTTTTTCACAACAATCCAACAAGTACTCAAGGTAGTGACAGGCTTTGATAGATTTCAAGTTTGGAGGTGTTGGGTGAGGGAACAACTTCTCATTTAGTTAGATTGAAGTTTGGATGGTTAAATGAAGTTCCCTAAGTGAACCAAGGAAATGACTTGGTTTAGCAATGATAGCCAGCTTAAGCAAATCCAAGAGCTAAAAAATAGTATTTGACTAATACAATCACTCCCCATTTCTCAGGAACACAATATATAAGACTAACCCAGACACTATCTGAAATGGGGTAGATAATACCTGCATAAAGCCACTTCATTATCTCTTTTTTAACGACGCCTTTTATGACAAGGTTTAATCTTCTGTGAGGATCTGCCCTAAATTTATGATCGACTTCCATAAGGATCCTATGCAAACATATCGAAGGACTAATTCCCTTTATATCTGTTAGAGTCCATCCAAAAGCTTTCTTAAAGTTCCTTAAAACACTCATCAATTTTTCATCTTGTAAACTGCTCAGTTTTGATGAGATGATCATTGGCAATGTAGTTGACTTCTCCAAGTAAGCATGCTTTAAATATTTGGGAAGCACCTTCATCACAAGTTTAGATGCTTCCTCAATGGAAGGGATTAGAGGCTTAAAATGTTCACTGGCATCCAGTAACTCAAACCTCTCCCTAAAAATCTTTGGATTATCCTCTACCAATAGAGTAAATTCATCAATAAAGTCAGTAAAATCATCCTCACTCAAATCTTGCTCCACGGGGTTATAATGTAGTCACCTTTTTATGATACTAAAAAGGAAACATTAAGGTACTCGTGCACGAAAATGGATAAGAATATTGATATTGAAGTATCTTAATTGATACGAATTTTTAAACGGTACACTTATGACGGTTAAATACATATTAAAAAGATATTGATATGTAAATGATATTGTAAAACAATAAATATTTAAAATCACATTGAATGAACATATTTGATAGTAGAAACATTCAAATGCTCTTAGATTGATTTGCATAAAATTTAACTGGTAAGTGTGTTATTCTTTTTTTATTTTGTTGCAACAGTTTTGGAGTATGAATATTCACTAGCTATAGTAAGCTCATTGTTGTTTTAAACTAATATTTCAGTTTTAATTAAGTATTAAAATAGCGATAGAAAATAAAATATTTATAGAAAGCATGAATAATTAGTAATTAGATAAATTTAATTAAATTATTTTAATTTACTTTTTCTGTGACTATCTCATATGTTAAATGTTAGTTATAAAAAATGACTATATAAAATTTTATTTTTCACCAACTAACAGTCTGTATCCGTCTTAGTTAATTCCAAGTTTCGGGTTGGGTTGTCATATAGACTGATAATAAATCCACTTGGGCAAGTTTCACTCGACTTGATTAGAAACTTTGGATTACAGCTTGACTCAAATTCAACATAAAATAAAAAAAGAATCAAGCCGAGCTGGCTCAACTAAAAATAATTTGGTCCTGAGTTGATTCAAAAAAAGATTGAGTCAAGCTTACAACTATAAGGCTAAGCTTCTTATAACAGCAATGAAAAAGAATGGTAAATTTTATGACTGCCACCCACATTAGGAAAAATTATTTCATATGGTAACTTTACACAGAGCTGTGTACGGTCATCCAATAAAAAACAACCCTCCTTAAAAGCTTTATAAAAGTGGGGCCCATTTTAAAATTTTAAATTTTTTAAAAAATAATGTTTATTACTAAAATGATTGGGGGTCGTAGGTACGGATTTTGTACCAAATAAGCGCTCCCACATTAGAGTGAATATAAGAATCTTGCTTGTTATCTGCAATTATTTCCCACATCATATTCACATTTTTGTTTTAAAAAATTTATAAATTAATAAAATTTAATCAAATTTCATGTATTTCTCCTTGCTAAAAATAATAATAATAAGAAGAAAATTAAAATTTCACATAAAAACAACATTAATAAGCATGCACCTAATTCAACACTTTTTTCATTTAAACATGAAATAGCTTAACAATAGAACACTACTGTAAAACCAATATCCAGATACACTCTTCTATTGAATTTAAAAAAAAAAAGGAAATTTACATACAAAGCTCACAATTCTTATATATTTACATATCTCACACCTAAACTTTCCTATTTACACACAAAGCACTCGAATTTTTAATATCATGTCAAACATGGCATTATTATCACTTTTTAAAGTAAAATACATCTTTTCATGCATAGAGTTAATAAAAAAAATCAATGTTCTATGTATTTAAATATGAAAACTTAGCGGTGAGATATGTAAATGCAAGAAAATTGTGTGCTAAGTATGTAAATTTATCCAAAAAAAAAAAAAAAAAAACTAATA